AGAGAGCAGTGTCTCCATGGAGACAGAATTTCCGAGCTCGTATTGGCTGTCAGGCCAAGTGAAGATGCACCGAAGGCTTCAGAAGCTTGTTATATAAATAGAATGTTTATTTTTAACACACAATTTGTCTGTTTTACATGAATTCTGAGAAAGGATTGTTTTTTAGAGCATGCAGTAGTCACAGTTTCACATTTTATTCTTCTATACCCCTGATAAGTGGGCTTTGTGATGTCTCCATATCATTTCTTTAATGATTTAAGGTGAATTTCAATTAGATAAAAAGAAACGGGTGAATAATTTATCATACGCTTCAGGTTAGCAGGAGTTTTCTCATTCTCTTTCTCGTTCTGCTGGGAGGCTGGGCTAAGCATGCAATCAGTATGACAGAGCGGTCAGATGATGAAAAGGTTCAACTTGAGATTGCATGTTTCTTCAGTCAGCTCTGTAGGATGCCTAAAGTGAAACTGCACTCTGTCCATGCAGATCAAAGCTACAGGTTTACTTTAATAGTAGTACTGCACATACTGTATGTATTTTCCTTTCAATCCTGCTTTGTACAGTACATTGCTGGGAGTGAGGAAAAGAACCCCTGTGTAAACTCCAAGTGGCAACCTGGATCTTCCAAGGGTTGCCATTTGGAAGGTCCAGGTTGAAAGGAACTGTCTTCCCACCCCTATGTGACAATGCAGGGGGCATGAACTGCTAATTGCCAAGCATCTACACTGTTATATGGAAGGAAGGGAGTAAGTCACATGCTCCCTATACCCTGAAATACCACCTTCTGACAGCAAAAGTGTTCAGGGAGGCTAAGGGTAGGTGTAAAGTGCAGAAAAGTAGAAGTGCACTCAACTGCTGCACCCTCCAAGTGATTTTCATTGTGTCCAAAGGCTGTGCCATTTTTATGGGAAAAGCTCTATCCCACACATTTATTTTGACCAGTGATGCAGCCCATCATTGTCTTAGGCCAGTAGGAATGTGTGTGAGGTAGGAGAGACAGGCAGGAGAGACTGTGATATTGCTTTGTTTTACAAACTTTTTAATAAGGTTTTAAAGGTGGGAACAGCGATAAGAAAAACAGAAACATAATAATTAAAAAAAGAAACAGAATCCAAGGCACAATTGGGAATAAACAAATAAAGAAATCATGACAGGATATAAGTTGGGGAGTGAAAAGATCCAGGCTAACGTCACAGTAAGAAGATTAACACAATGCTCAAATCAACTATTTATCTTCACATCATGGGTGCGGAGACTGAGAGGGTGACCACCCAGTCTCAGACCCATCTGATTGCATTAGATCAGTGAGCCAGAGAGAAGGCAGCTTCCCAGTGTAGTTGAAATGGGTAAGTAACAAACAGTGCAGAACACTGCACATTATGGAATGTGAAAAGTGCTTCAGAAAACAAAGAGAGGAATAAAAAAAAGATAAGGGAATAAGATGGAAAAGATCGAAAGCACAGAAAAAGAAAAGGAAAGGAACAAAGAGAAAAAGGAAAAGAAGAAAAAGAAAAAGACAGAATAAAAAGAATAAAAGGGGGAAAAAGCAGAGGGAGTCATAACGCTGGGAGAAGGGAAAGGGTCCTTGGATGCAGGTGCACCAATCCTTCGTGTAATAAAGCATGCTCAAATCCTGTACCCTGGAGGTATTCCACCCACCGAGACCAAACTTTGATGGGATTGCAAAAAATCCTGCATGCACTATTTTTTGCACTTGCACCGCACTGGAATACAGGGCATTGCTGTACCGTGTGTTCCGGTGCACACTGCAGGCGGGAGGTGTGCCTGTGGAGCCAATGAAATGAATGCCACAGAATGCGAGGAGGGTTTGATTAAGCAGTCCAGTGTGTTAATGTCACGGATATGTAAGATAAACGTACTGGATGGTGTGAACGGGCCCTTAGATATTTTTTGTAAGTATCATTTAGAATGGCAGTAACTTTCTTATTGTTCATAGTACCTGTAATTCTTTGTTTGACCTCACTATACCTTAGGACAGGCTGCCTCCAAGCCTTAGCAATAGTTTCCCTAGTAGCCAAAAAAATGATGGGCCAATGCACCCTCAGATTTTGTAAAATTGTTAATCTTCTTATATAGTAGGGCCTCCCATGGATTACGTGACAGTGTACAATATAGACCTACTAAGGTTATATATATATATATATATACAGTATACTCGTACTCGCCCAAATGCTCCGATACCTTTCCCGATACTGGAACTTCTGGTCAGAAGGAGATTTCCTCTGACCGGAAGTTCCTACCATTGCATGAGCACAATATGTGAATTTTCATTTCAGCAGTTATTATTTTATATGAGCTTTTTGACACTTGGGTCCAAATAAGGGACCAATCAGAATAGTCGACTCATGCCCAGGTCTTGCTCCCATTAAGTTATATATGCCTGTTTAACAAAATTATTAGGAGTATTTAAATCACTGTACAAAGAAGAGCTCAAGCCTGAGGAAAGGGGATCCTGTAAGCATCTGCGTGCAAAAGTGGTGATCGTCAGTGGCATAGAGGTCTTACCTCTTTTAAGGCAATGTAAGAAATGTCACAATTGCAAATAACAAAATAATTTAGAATCCGGAAGTTTCCAGACTCTCTGAAGTTGGGAGAAGGATTTAACCTCTCCAATCATGAAAAAATTGTAAGCATGCTAAAGTGCCTGTGTTGGCCACTTCCTAAGTGCAGATACTTCCTTATAAGCCGAAAGGGAGAATTTAATATCCCAGTTAAATGCAAATGAGTTGACATCAAATCTCCAGAAAACTTAAGCGCATCCCACCCCCCCAAAGAGAAAACGCAATGTTGGGTCTTGCATTTGGGGATGAAGGTGCAGGGGAAGCCAAATCAGATTGTAGACAGGTGTAGGGGGAACCTCTACCACTTGTCCAAATAAACCCACATAGGGATTTCCTGTGTAGCACGCAGTAAAGTCAAAGGTGATATCTGTGCCGCCCTGTAGTAGTATTGTAAATTAGGTACACCCAGTCCACTTGAGATCCAAGAGCTATATAAAACAGGGCAGCTACCCTAGGTCTTTCCGATCCCCCAAAAGTTGAAATGTTTCTGTTGCTCTCTACATAGAATGTGGGGTGAGATTGCAACTGGAAATGTGTGCAGATACTACAAGAGCTTTGGAAGATGGCCAAACCAGGAGATGGGCAGATGTCTCCAGTTATTTAGTAAATGGGAGAGGTCTCTAAAGAGAACTGGGTAGTTAGCTCCATACCGTGAAGCATAGGAATGAGTCAGGAATACCCCCACATAGGGGAGTTGGAGACCCATTGAAATTTATAGTTATCCTGGAGGGCATTAAGAGTCCTGCGAACCAAAGAAACATTCAGAGACTTAGATTTAATATTCACAAAGCTGTCAAAGGCTAAAATCAGCCTTACATCGGCTGGCTTTGGTCAGCCTGCAGGTCCCGGACAATCAAAACACATGGGCGGAGGCAGCCATGACATCACAGCTGGCCCCGCCCAGCTGTTGTCATGTAATGACAGCCCAGTGTTCACGAGGATGCTGGCCTGTCATTGAAGGACAACAACTGGGCGGAGCCAGCCATAAGATTACATCTGGCTCCGCCCAGATGTTGTCTTTTGCAGGGAGAAAGATTGGCTTCGGCTGACCTTTCTACCTGCTTCGGCTGTCACCACGAAGCATATGCATTCGGCTTAGCTGCCTTCGGCTGCTGTACAGGCTATTGTGAATAGCCTGTACAGCAGCCCTTCGCTTCAACTGAACCGAAGGGCTCGGCGGCTGAAGCGAGCCGAAGGATCAGCCGAAGCTACAGCTAGATCCTTCGACTCAATAGTGAATAACCCTCTTAGTTTCATTCACCTGTAAGCCTGAGATAACTACAAATTCTTTCAGACAAGCAAATACATTAGGTAAAGACGTATGAAGTCAAGAAAGGTGAAGCAAGATATCATCAGCAAAGAGCGTATGTTTATGATGAATACCTGCATCCTCAACACCTTATATGGGTTCAGATCCTACTGCTATAGCAAGGGGCTCTAGGACAAGGATGAAGAGTAAAGGGGAAAGTGGACAGGCCTGCCTAGTGCCCCATTGGATAAGGAAGGGGGATGAAGAGAACCTGCTATAACATACATTCACCTTGGGACCCGAATATAGGGCTTCCACCTGATGTAGGAAATTAACCCAAAATCCCCATTTTCAGAGATAAAAAAATAAATATTGCCAAGAAAGGGTGTCAAATGCCTCTTACACATCTAAGAATAAGAACATATTTTTCAGAGAGTGGGTTTGTGCAGGATGGATTAGCTGAATGACACGGCGACACATCTACATTGAGTAAAGAGATTATTTGAAAACAGGACCAGGGGTTCGTGTCTGTATTAGGTTTTGGTGTCACAATATTGGCAGCTAGCATATTAGAGGGTAGGTATTGGCTGGACCAAAGAAAATTAAAAAAACAGTGGCTAAACGCCAGGCCAGGGGGTCAAAAAATTGTTTGTAAAATAATGCAGAGTATTCATTTGGCCCTGGTTTCTTGCCAGATTTAAAAGATTTAATAGCTAATATTTCCTGGGGCGTATGGAAATAATGTATAAAAAATAAAACCCTTACAAATTTACGGGCTTTATTCACAATAGGTGTGTACTTTTAAAAGGCAAGAAAACTTTCACTGCTTCGTCCAGTTCAAGCTCCACCACCCAAATTTATGCCAGGTGTTGGCCGGGAAACGTCCATGCATGTACTTTATTTAAATTCAGCAGCCAGCATAGTATAGTCCCTGCGTAGTAGCTACCCACCTCTGACACATTTCATCCTTATGGGGCCCAGTTGTATGTATTGGTGAAACATGTCAGAAGTGGGTGGCTACAGGCACGGTGGAACTTAGCAGTGTGCAGCAATTTTTGGACAGCGTGTACTGTTATTGTTATAATCCATGCGGAACAGTAACTATTCTTAGCGTTTCTTTGAATATACATGTGCTGTATGCTGTGGTAAATGCTATTATTTGCTCTTCGCAGATGGTACAAAGAAACTGCGCAGTAATATTCGACGCAGCACAGAAACGGGTATTGCTGTGGAAATGAGGAACCGGGTGACAAGGCAAGGGAGTCGGGAATCTACAGATGGCAGCACTAACAGCAACAGTTCTGATGGCACGTAAGTGGCATTTTTCATTCTTTACCTTCTCACCACTGAGACTGATTAAGGGGTGGTTCACACGATCTGCGTTTGCAATTTGCTTTGCTTTCAGTTGGCTCCATTCACACCAGTTCAATCTTGTAGTGTACGCTGAGAAAAAGTATGGCATGCTGTACTTTTTTTCAGTGCAGGGTAATGGGACACAGTCCATTAGACATGTAAATTTTGTTTAGTTCCAAAACTAAATTTACATGTCTAGCCTTGCCTAGCACAGTCCCAACGCAAAGACAGAGCTATTTGCCTTGCTTTCAGTTGGCTGCATTCACACCAGTACAATCTGGTGGTGTGTGAGAAAAAATATGGCATGCAGTACTTTTTCCAGCGTAGGGTAGTGGGACACAATCCACTAGACATGTACATGTTGTTTAGTTCTGAATTAATATTTGTATGAACTGCATTAAATTCATTCACATTCGGATGATTTGAGGATCTACAGACGAGTGATACACAAATAAGATACATTATTGTTAATAATTCAGGTACCTGAATACATGTTAAGATTTAACTACTGAGTTTAATGTCACTTTAAGCTACCTGGCTTTGGAATGAGGTGTGATCCAATACCTGTTTCAGATCGGTGACTCACTTGGTAAAACTAATGATGAGGATGGCACTTACCATGAAGCAACCAATCAGATTCAAACAGCATTGGTAAATGACGAGCAAAATACAAAATTTAGAAATTGACTGAATCACTCTATTTTTTTAAATAAATGATCCACAATATATTTACAACAGTACATATTGAGCCCCCTGCCCCTATACTCCTAATACTTTGTACTTTTACCCTTTACAGATTTATATTTCCCACAACCCGATTAGGAGCAGAGAGTCACTTTAGTCACTTTTTGGATGGTCTTGGACCTGCGCAGATTGTGGGGAGACAAACCCTTGCTACCCCACCCATGGGTGAGTAGAAATCCAAATTTCATGTTGAATGTATTTTATAGGTTGTACATTTTATGCAAGAAAAAGACTTTTGACATGAATTGGTCATAATTAACCCAGGGCTGGATAAATAACTGCAGCCAGGTAGCCAATGCTCCTTACAAAATACAGCTGGCACCCAAGTTCTGAGGTTTTTTCTAGTTGTTGTCAATGGCTCTGGCTTTTAAAAAATCCTGCTAGCTCCTGGATTGGACAGACTGGCTTCTGGATTCTATATTAACTTGTACACCCCTGAATTAACAGTTAGGTCTCATCATGGATGAAGTGAAATGTAAAATGTATATTTTGAAGACAAATACTGGAACAGCCATATTAACCAGTTATATTAGGGAACAGTACTTACCAGCATCTGATACACAGTTCTTCTGCACTGAAATTATCCATAGCCATGAGGAAATAATCCTTTGGTGACATATGTCTTATGTGCTTATGTCTTTGGGTCCTCTCCAGTGCCACCAGTAAATCTTTGTGAGGGAGAACCAAATGGTTCTCCCTCACAAAGGAGCATGGTGCATGTAGAATTGAGCATACTACAGGAATCTGGAGAGGGCAGAAAGACTGCATCTACAAATCCAAACCACTGCCTAATGTCAATGGACAGCCCTAGGCTGCATTCATACTTCTGCGTTTCTTCTGCTTTTTACATGTGGTATCACTTATCTCTATGACATGCCTGTCTCTGTTTGAATACCTGAACATTGACTCTAGCTAGTTGGCTGCAGCCAGTATTTGGGCGACAATTTCCCACCTGGCTTCTTCGACAAAGATTTTTGTTGAGCCAGGTGGTGGCGGCCGGGCTGATTCAGCAGGACTTGACTGAAATTCGAGCAGTGTATGGCCAGTTATATTGGTGATTTTGTGTCCACCTTTTCCTCGGTGACACCTTTCTCAGCCTACTTACTTACTGTGTATTAAAAGACCAGTGGAACTAAGATGAGACAAAGCTTGTAGGTATCAAAAATTATATTACCCATACCTATTACACTGCCTTGTGTCATAAGTTGTAACCACAAAAGTTGTACGCTTCTAAACAAGGCACAGAATCTCAAAGTCCCGTTACATCTCCTCCTGGGGTTTTTTCATTTTAGAAGACCCCCAATCTAGACAAGCAAAGACATTGCTTGCAGCCAGAATCTATGACCAGTGCATTATTGTTCTGTAGAGAGACTGTGGCATTGCCATGCTTTATTGTATTTTAATGCCTTGTGCCCTGACACCAGAATCTTTTAAAAGCAGCAATCATCCAGGAAAACCTTCTGAACAATTCATTCTTCCCCAGAAGTTGATCAACTTGGGGATGTCTACTCATGCCAGGGTGGACCGACACCTGTTCCCTAATCTGATTGGTTTTAGGAGAATTTGGTAATGGTTATTTAAGTTCTGTCACGCTTTTTCCCCATTCAGTCATTTGTATTCGGCAATATTTGCTTCTGACCACATTGATAAATGTGCCCCTGAATGGAAATGCCACAATTAAACAAAGGCTGTATGTGAGAAATATGCCATGTTATCCCAGCTTTACAGTCTGTATCAGACTTCCATAAATGTAATTTACAGTGCAGTATTGCCCCCTACTGTCCATGCTTAAGAATGCATGGAAAACCCTTTTCCTGTTATGCATGGAACTTTACCTATATCTTTAAAATAAAAAACAGAGGCATCTTTATAAATGTTTAGTAATGGCAATCTACAAGCAGATGCATATAGATAATTGTAGGCTTTTTTCTTTCATAGCTTATTTTTCTTTTCCTCCCCATTCTTCTCACAGTGGCCATTTTTACTAAGGGGGAGATGAATCCATCTCCCTTTACTTCCTGGAAGTCTGGCACATGTGACTAGGACATGTGACCATGCACATAATCTCAGAGGGAAAAATGCCTTTTCCTGAGATCTGGCGAGATTTTGCAGTTTACAGATGAGATTTCAAAGCAATGCACTTTGAAATAACCTTCCCAGGATGCATCTCTTAGGCATGGGCTGCATCACTAATGCCTTAAAGGACCAGGAAGTGAAAAAACTGTAATTGTAAGTAAAAGAAAAATATGCTTGTTTAACTAATGTATGTAAGATGATTAAATATCAGCATGCAGAACTGCACCCAGATGTGATTTTTCATGAAAGGGGGTGAAGGTTCACTTTAAACTGACAGAAACAGAACATATGTTTACACATACAAATAAGTAACAATACTACAGTAACAGTATCTAATCAGCCATGCCAGTGAACACAGCCTGTAATGATTATTATTACTCACTATTTACTTACCAGTGGTGGTTTGCAAGTAATTAGGGTGGAACTTGACACCTGCAATTAAAGTTTGCAAACAGGCAGGTTTCTTTATTGTAGCAGAGACATACTGAGAGGAATGTATCAAAACTGGAGCAGACAAAATCTGGAGCAGCTGTGCATAGCAACCAATAAGCTTCTCTCTTTCATTTTCAAATTTTAACTGAACAAACTGAAGAGAGAAGCTGATATGTTGCCATGCACAGCTGCTCCACATTTTGACTGCTCCAATTTTGATAAATTCCCCTCACTATGTTTCTTCTGAAGTAAAAAGAGTCTTACCTGCCAGTGAACAATGTACACTGGGTTGTGAACACCGAGATTAATGAACTCTCTTGCATGCATAAGAGTTATGTCATCCTGGTGTGGCCAATCAAAATGGCTAAAATCCCACACTAAGAAGAAGATCGGGCAAATATATCAGAGGCTAGCGAGGGAGCTTGCAGATGTTGCACTGCTGGTGCGGAGGTAAGTATAGTCCCGATAGTACCGCTTTAAATAATTTACCAAATATTTTACCTTGGCACTTGGTTAGTATGAGTTGCAAAAATACAAAAAAATATCTGTTTCATCTGTATTATGTATTTTAACAGGGGCCTGTATACTATGTATGAATAACAAAAAACACAAACCCCTGTAGTTTAGGAGAGAATTAATTATAATATGTGTCCAAATGTATATGGGAACCCTTCCAAATCACTGTCAGGTGTTTCCAGTAAAGGATACTGTTAATGTTAAGCATACAAAGACAGTTTTTAACTTCCCACTGTGTAGCAATGTTATGTAGAAGGCCGTTCTCTGTTACTGTATCACTGTGCCCCTATGCACAATGCCAGGTCCATGCAGCCCTGACATCAACTACTACTCAACACCTTTGGGATGAACTGGAAGGCTGATCGCAAGCCAGGTCTTGCCATCCAACATCGGTACCCTAACCTCTCAAATGTTCCTTTGGCTGAAATCAGTAGCCTAACCTCTCAAATGTTCCTTTGGCTGAAATCAGTACCCTAACCTCTCAAATGTTCCTTTGGCTGAACTCACAATGCTCTTTGGCTGAAATCCTTTTTTATTTTTATAATGTCCTTAAAAGGCTGCGTCCAGATCTCACCAGGCTGCATACAGATCTCACCTGAGCTAAATAGAAATCTCACCAGAGCTAAATACAGATCTCAACAGGCTGCGTTCAGAATCTGTACGCAGCCTGGTGAGATCTGTACGCTGCCCAGGTGACATATGTAGTCCAGATCCCACCAGGCTGCGTCCAGATCTCACCAGGCTGCGTCCAGATCTCACCAGGCTGCGTCCAGATCTCACCAGGGCTGCATACAGATCTCACCTGAGCTAAATAGAGATCTTACCAGAGCTAAATACAGATCTCACCAGGCTGCGTTTAGAATCTAGACGCAGCCTGGTGACATCTGGACGCACCCTGGTGACATATGTAGTCCAGATTCTGCCAGGCTGCGTCGAGATGTCACCAGGCTGCGTCCAAATGTCACCAGAGCTAAATACAAATCCCACCCGGCTGCGTTCAGATCCCACCAGGCTGCGTCCAGATCCCACCAGGCTGCGTCCAGATGTCACCAGGCTGCGTCCAGATGTCACCAGGGCTGCGTCCAGATGTCACCAGGCTGCATTCAGATCTCACCAGGCTGCGTCCACATCTCAATTGGCTGCGTCCACATCTAACCAGTCTGCGTCCAGATGTCTCCAGGGCTGCCTATTAGGTCTCTCCACAGGCTCTGACAGGTGCTGTGCTGCACACCCAGCGTCCCCAACCCCCTCCAACCTCTCCTAGAGCGCTTCTTCCTTGCCTTAGCTCGATTTCTACCGGCGCGTGGTGAGCCGAGCGGAGCGGGTGCTGGTCACATGCCCGCTCCGAGGCTGTATTTTACTGTTTGGGGCTGCCTCAAGCAGTGCCTTCGTCGGGGAGGTGGAGGAGGAGACGTGGGACCTGGCAGGCAGTGTCAAAGACAGCTACTGCCAGGTCCCGGGAAGGCCGCTTCAGGACTCCACAACCGCGGGACCTGAGGCGGCCGATACGATTTAAAAATTTAAAGGGCCAGTATCAGCATCAGGGCAACAAGAACTTGTGAAAATGCCCTGTATCGGCCCCGATACCGATACTGGTATCGGGACATCCCTAAGTGGTATAACTACTCATTTTTTGAAAGCACTTCTTCAGTGCTCTAGATATCCTATGCAAATCATGGACCTTTCAACCCTAAATACTATACTGTAAGTACCTTTAGGCCCCTAAAATATCACCTATCTCTAACACTTACGCATCCTGTCCACCCCCTAACATTATCACTTAACCAACCAGTAAACTTACAAGCCCATGCAAAGAACCACTTATATTCAGTCTTACTGAGCTCTACTGCTGCTCCACTCATAACTTGTTACCGTGTTAAATGAACCCCTGATCCTATGCCTAACTAAAACCATCAAAACAACGGTACGACCTGGACTATTATGCTGATACTTACCATACTGGGCCATAACTTAGGAACAACATCCATACTTAGGCAAATTCCCACAACACACCAATGTAACAGTGCTCATGCCTGACAATAGGTCATTCAGGCACGGAACACTGCATTATGGGATGTAGAGAGTCATGCTAACTCTCAGTATGGCCTGGAAGATGAAATTGCAGTGGTGCACAGACAAGATTTGCAGTAACAATGGAAGCATGCTTTTGCACCTTTTGGAATATACTATGTATAATCACTTTCAGTTTGTACCAGTTGTTTCTAAGTACAATTTTCTTTTTTACGCTGCCTCACTGCTTACTAAAAACCTACACAGTGACAAGGCAACTGGTACAAAGACTATAAAAATAATAAGAATAGAACAGATACTGTACTGTGTGTGTCAATGAGTCTCATATGTGTGATTGCCCTGTAATGCCAGAAACATAGAAAGCACTAGCAGTTGACTTTCCAATATGTCTCTCATTAAGCCAATATTACTGCATGGAGCACATTCTAGTCATGTGGATCCTACAAATTCCACATAAAGTACAGTTTTTGCGAGTAGCAATATGGGATCATAAAACAGAGATTAAAATTGCCCTGCAGTTTGTGAGTTAAACTGCTCACTGTCATTATTAAACTAGTACAAAAGGTGTCCGATCCATTCGAAACATTTCATGTCTGATATTTCCCCAAGCCTAGATGCTGTGTCTCTAGGGAGTAATTTCTGGTAAGACAATCTTCCTGCAGCAAATTGCCCCTCTCCTGTGGGATCTACTGCCATCTCTAATTACCTTGCTAGTATTTTACAGTCAAAACTCTAGCCCAGAGGAATGAGATCATTCCCGTCCAGAAAGTTCTGCACTGTTCCTATTCACGCTAAGTATTATTATTTCATTCTGCCTGGCATTGTATTCCAGCAGAGTTGTAGCTACAGACTCTTTTACTGTGGACCCAGAAATAATAATAGCATGGGCTGTTCAAGAGCATTACAAGACACAGCGGATATTAGCCATTTTGAAACCATTTTCTGGTGAATTAGTCCTTACAATTGAATTCCAGGCAAAACTCAGAACCTTTAGGATCATAATTATATGCCCCATATATACAGTATGTCTTAACCTGCTATTTTAACTACAAGCATACTCTAGGTGGTTAATTCAGCACCCTGCTCCCTCTGAAATCATGGTAATGGAACTTTCCTACTTGATAGGGACTGTAGGGAAAAATATGTGGCTGCTTAATATTTGCTTACCTAAACTGGCCATATATGGAGCAAATTTCGACCGGTTCATCAATTTGCTCTGTGAGTGGCCCTGTTGGCACCCTACCTCACGACATTGTTCGATCTGAAAATGGAAAGGACCAGACGGAAGTCACCTTCCATCCAAACCTGATTGGACACTGAAGGAGTAGCACCTTTCTAATAAGATCACCCCATGTGTGGGCCTCATCTGGGCAGGACACCAACCTTAAACAAGAAGGAAGACCTGTAGTCCTAAAGGTCACTTCAATATGTTGTGTCTGATGACATCCCCCCCATCATGACTGGGTATGAAAAAGAACAGGAAGTGTGAAAACGTCTAGATTATGGATAACCAGGTTGTTGTACCACACAAAAAACAAGCAAAAAACGAATTCTCGTCTACACCTATCCATGTAATTTACAGTTTTGGAAGCTAACTCTGATCTTTGGTCTAAGACAGCTTGTGACTGAAATGAGATAATCAGTGCACACTGTGACAGTAATTGTTGAAGCAGCACTGTGACCAAGTGAGCAGTTCCTCTCAGAAAATTGTGATTAATGTAATATGTTTAGGTGGGGGTTGTCTCTGATGAGCCAACCCCTTCTGACTGGTTCAGGTAAAGGGTTAGCTTGTACGGGAGACAACTGGAGGCTGTACAAGACACAATCCTAAAGGTCAAAAGTAATAATGGTGCATACTTTTAATGGACGTATTTACATTGAACAAATTGTTGGAGTTTTGGACAAAAACTGGCTCACAAAAATGGATTTGCGTATCTCCGTTGCTCATGTTCATAGTATTACATTGATAATATCCACCCAATAGATGCTTTCACATTTGCAGAAAGATAAACTACAAGCTCAGCAGTAAGTGGAGTTTAACAAATGCTGACTAAAATGTGTGATATTCAAATTGTCTCTTTTTGCTGAGCAAAATGAGACTTCTATTTTCATTCCACTGAATATCTAATGAGACGCATTACAATGACAATTACTATCACATACATGCCCTAATTTATATAGTGTGCACTGTTTAGTGGTTGCGCCTCACCCACCTATTTATTATGACCTTATTAACAGGTCAAAAATGCTGGTATATGGCTTGTAAACTTTGTTGCCAACCCGACGTACATGCCTTGGGCATGCGGCCCCCTGCATGGGTGATGACATCACAGTGCTTAAGTCACACCCAATGCGTTTTGTCTCTAATAGACTTCATCAGCAATTGTAAAACCCTGTGACCCCCAGATGGTTGTAATTGGTTTGTTAACCCTTACAGCCCCCGCAGTTAGTGGATGTCTATTCACCTGTTCGATTAACTTCTTATGCGCCACTACCTACTTTTATCTAAATAGAGATCCTCTTTGGATACTATAAGAAGTGCTATTCAGGTAAAAACAGGTAGTGGTCATTTCTGATACCTGAGCAATTAAAGAATTGGATTGAATGGTTGATCAGAAAAATCAATGTGTATGGCCAGAATTAGGTTGAAAACACTGTAAAACGCAGTGCAACCTTATGGAGTCATTTCTGACCCTTCATTTTTTTAGTCTGCTCCTATTCAGGGGATTAGGGGAGGCTCAGGTATTTATGCTAGCAGAATTGGAATTTAATATTTTTTTTAATGTGTGCATGGCTGAATTACATATTTAGAGGCTCTCCACTGCTCTGACAGTCATAAACATGTGGAAGAATCAAGTAGGTCCACTGTTTCTTCTTATCATATCATAGCTACAGTTAGAGATCTAAACACAAACTGTTCGGTCAGAAGTCCAAGGCAGGTAGTCAAATGCTCTGGCAAGGTATGGGGAGTCAATGTAGAAAAGATAGCATTGACTGTAATATTCTTCTTGTTCTTCTCATAGGTCATAAAGGGATTTTTTACATTTTATACTTCTATAGCATTTTTGATATAAAGTAATACTGGTATATTTGTGTTCCAGGAGACGTAAACGTTGGTATGATGGACAGGAACGGTCAACTTGAGGTGGATGTGATCCAGGCCAGGGGCCTTACTCCAAAACCTGGCTCCAAATCAATTCCAGGTAAATGGCATTGTGCAGCTAAAAGGCCTCTCATTACAGGCTTTTTAGAAAACAACACAGAATTGTTCTAAATTTCTAAATATATTTACAACTAGTGTTAATCTTAGGACAGAGATGACTTGTGGATAGAGTGCATAGAGCTTTCACCCTCAGGTAAAGCTTGGACTGGGTGTGATCAGTTGGTACAGGAGTTGTTAGATGTATGAAATAGAAAGAGTGCATGGAGCACAACATTTAATTTGGAGTACTTAAAGTGGGCCTAGACTCAGGCAACCATATGTTTCAAACAGTGTGAGACACGCCATTTTTGAATGGTACAGTGATGACAGTAAGCACTATACTCCTCTTATTTGGCCAGGGCCACTTTTTCATTCATTGCAGAGCGTCTGTGTGGAAGACTCTACCTCTTCCGGACCCCTCCCCATAATGACATTGTACACTAGTAATTAGAAGGAGGAGTGGGGTTGTACACCTATCAAACCTCTCATCTGCTCCTGCAAGGCTATGAGACCAGAGGTTCTCTAGGCACTGTCACTGTAGCTTCTAATTTGGAATTATATATTATAAAATGTTTATTTACTAATTATTTTGTCACATTAAACTGCGCTAATAAATGCCCATTAGACAGCCAAACCTTACATTTTACAGGTCCACTTTAATGTAAAATACTAGAAATGATATACGGAATTTATATTTTTTTTGTCCGACTGATATACTGTACATTTCTTTATTTTTAAAACCTGTGTAGGTATATAGTATCCTCTTATATAACACAGTTAGTTACATTGAAAATAACAAGCAAATCTCACAGAAATGTGTTGTGTTCTCTTGATAGAGTTTCATTAAAAGGTCTGAAAATATTGCCGGCCTAAGGGATAGATAAGACTCACATTATAATAATAACCTTCCTACTCTTCCTTTTTATATCTTAAAATATTTCTCATAATTTATTTTTGACATGTGCAGCCCCATATATTAAGGTCTACCTGATAGAGGGTGGAGCATGCCTGTCAAAGAAGAAGACAAGGACAGCAAAGAAAACTTGGGATCCAGTATATCAGCAGGTTCTTTTGTTTGAGGAAGGACCACAGGGGAAGGTGTTACAGGTGAGGTCTACCTCTCATTCAGAAAAACAGCATACCAAATCACAAAATCATATCTTGAATCAAGTAAAAAACATGTAAGGCTATTTCTATTAATGTTTGTTTATTTGGAATTCAGTTTGCATATGTTAAGAGGTATACACAAACCCACAGGCTCCATAACAAACTGTATGGACTTCAATACACACAGTAGAGAAGAACAGCAGAAACAGACACTGAATAGTCTAACTTCTGCCTGCAAAGGAACAGAAGCAATATTCTTCTGAATGCACATATAATAGGTCAAATGAAAATATAGATCACAAGCAGGCAACACAAAAACATATTTTTCATTACAAATTGACCAGTGCTCCTTCTAAGTCACAGTAGGAAATAAGAGTAGATCTTGCATGAGTCAAGTCTACATGCCCCACACTGTGGAGATATTTATGCTAGTGATATACAATATACACCATGTTACATATACTAGGATACTAAGCAATGAATGAATACATTTCACACATTGATGCATCAAAAAGAACCATCTCTGTGCTTTCCACAGGTCATTGTTTGGGGAGACTATGGAAGAATGGACCACAAATGCTTCATGGGGATGGCGCAGATCCTACTTGAAGAGCTTGATTTAAGTTCCTGTGTCACTGGGTGGTACAAACTCTTTCCTACTTCTTCGCTAGCAGACTCTAGCATTGCTCCCCTGACCCGCCGACTGTCCCAGTCGTCACTGGAAAGCTCCACTAGTCCATCCTGCACCTAACCTAGGAGGAACACATCTTTTGTTCAATCCTTTCCTCCCTTTTTGCAGCCTAAACAGTCAACTTCCTCTTTTTTACAACCAGATACACATCACGACTGCATTGCAAAATCAGCAGGTCAGTCCAGGGCTCTGGAAAAGGAGGGAGTTAGCTGCGGCCAAGGCCCCTTTGCAACAATAAGTCAAAAGCTGCCAATTAAATGATACCGCAAAAAAAAGAAACACTTTAGAGACTGTTATAATATTTAATACTGAACAGAATCCAGATGAACCAAACAAGGATACTCCAAATAGAATATGATCAACAAAGCAGCCCATGTTATCTGGGGAACACGGAGAGGGCTGTAGAGTCAAAGAATCAGCTGCCTTGGCAACCTTTACTCTCCTTGAGTAAATGTATAGCTAATGCAATTCTCCAACATTTCAAAATGCAATGTATGATCATTCTGTTAAAAGAGAACAAATACAAAAGAAGCACAGTGAACAGCACATTGATGCCAAATTACAGTATCCGGAATTAGATCAATCCCTTCCACTGAGGACATCTCAACAGCTCCTCACCTTTTTCTTTCAGTCTTTTCATCTAAACCAATTTTCTGTCCCTCTCCTACCCTCCTCAGGCAAGTCGAGAGCTACATTTTACCAAGGTGGCGACTGTGATATCATGTATATTTCATAGACAGCTGCATACAATCACAAGTATGAATGCATTTACATATATCTATATAGCAGAATGATATTTTTTCAGGTATCAGAATATTTTTTTTTTACATTTTTTGGCTTTATTTAAAATGGAATGTAGCATTTCAACGTGCAATTTTATTTTGAACAAAAAGAAATGCAGACAAGATATTTGATGCTTCTCTTCTACACTTTCTTTTTGTGGCACAGATAAGCAATCTTGTTTAAATATACACATATAACTGCATGTCGCTTTTGTGTGATTAAATAATGCATCTATCTCACACTAGTTTTTTTTTTTTTAAGTGCATTAAAGAATTTGTGCTGTGTTAAACGTTTTACCCCATTTCATGTTTAGAAGGCCTGCTACATGCTTTATCTGCATGATGATGATATTCCTAGCAAGCAAAGTCTAATGTACCAAGGAATCCGGCAGCCCAGGGCTGGCAAAAACTGCTTGCCCCAGGGAAGGATGCAGCAGGCCCATGGTTTCATCTTTATAAATGGCATGGAAATTGTGTTTATCCTTCAAGTGCACAGCTAAAGCACCTACTACAACTCAGATACAAAGTTCTACTATTGACTATGGACAATGCCCAGTAATTAAAGAAGAAATGCCGGAGCCAAGTCAGGATACAGCTTGGAGCTTAAACTCCAGGAGCGCACATGTAGCATGCGACCCGATGTAGCAATTGACCCATTTTCTTTAAGGATGTCTACAACAACAACTCAGGGCTGCAAACTGTTTGGGAGAAGACTAAGGTCTTCTCTAGTGTCGGTGGCAGTGTATACCTTTTTTTGCTAGTCTTCATCATTTCCTAACAACCCCGATAAAAGGCCTGCAGAGAATACTTCTTAGATCAACCCAATTTCAGCGATTCCTTCCAAAAATAAAGTTTGGAATAGAAATTTTAAAAAAATACCAAGAGGAGTCAACTAGAATATACATCATTGCTTAAGATGAAACGCTTCACAGAGGGGTTTCAGCATGAACATCATCGGACCATAAGAGCATAGGCTGGCAATGGACTGTAATATAAGCAGAGCTAGTTTTATTTTGTTCTGCCAGTAGACAGCCAAGGGGATCAAGCAGAATATTTCGTAATGTCAATGGTGCACAATTATCTAAAGGACTCAGTAAAAGGTATATGATTATTTCCACATTATTTTTTTATTTTATATGTGTACCTTTGGTGGATCAACATATCAGCCCTACGTAGCAGCTGGTGCCAAAGAATTCAGACTGCAGATAAACCCTCAAAAAAGACTGATATATTGGTCCATTGAAGCAAAAATATATTGTAAAAAGTATAGTTATTTACAAACTCCCCAAAAAGCTTTAACGTTTATGTACAATTAAGACACCGAAGAGATGTTATTTATTGAATAGAAATATATTACGTTTTTTTATAATGCCCGTTTTTTTGATCATATGACAGCAAACATATAATACGATATAGGAAGAAATACAGATCTCAGTATCTTTTCTCTCACTCAGATCCAGTTATCTAATTCTTCTGCCAAGTAGCCTGATAAACTAGGTACAACCACTCCCTTGATAAGAATTTCAATAATACCCTTGACAGGGCTCCTCTACCTGCAAACGGAGAGCTTTATCACCTGCATGGTTGATAGGTGATTACTTGCAACTGCTTCAAATGGAACCTTGAGGGAGATGCAATTCCACAACAGGATGTAAAGGGGAGATGCCCTTTAAGGAGGTCATGTGTAAAAGCTCACTATTCAACAGCCAAAGACTATGGTTTGTTCCTTTTGTGTACTCTGTCACCCTTTGGTGTAGCTTAATTACTTGCATGAAGAATGACTTTATGAAGAAGACCTGTCTTTATGCTTTGAGCAGCAGTTGTTTGTGTCTAGTTTATCGTGTCTGTGAGCAATACTTATTACTCAAATGCAAATGTGCAGTAATATATCAACCTATGAGGCAGTTGATTCTGTTGTGAAACGTGAACTAGAATGATCAGAGCCAAATGCTGAGTGGTTGCTATTACTATACTGCTGCATTTCCTTAGTGTCTCCATGTGTGCCATAACCATGTATGTTCTGCTACACTTGACACAACCATAGTTTGTAAGTCAGGGCTTTTCTTATTCCTATACGATGCCTAGAACAATCTCCTGTCAACACTTTTGTAAGACTTTATTTAAATCTACATTCATACAATGCCACTTTAGAAAATTATTTTAATGGTGTGGGTTTATTTAATAGCTACTAAGAGCAGTGGCGTGTTGTATCCCTTGGAGACCAGTTGTTGGCCGATAGTAGGTTGTAGTGCTATAAGACCATTGGAAACACATAGGTTATCGCACCCCACAGCTAAAGCCCAATCTGTACATACTGTATATACATTCTGGGTTAAAATACTTTTATAAAGTAAACATTTCACAAATATGGACAACTCAAACTGAGCACACTATGAAAAATTCATTATCATTATCATTAAAAGTCACCTTCCGTGTACTGCATGTCAAAACAATCAGAAGATCTGAACCCAACCCTTTTTGACTCCTTTGCCTCTCTTTTGGTTTGCAAGGCTGTTTATAACATTAAAGGAGCAAAAAGGAAGGGTAAGGGGTGGGGACACAAACTTGTATTGCTCCTGTAATGTGATTGGCTTTGCTGACCAATATGGAGGCAAATGATTCACAAAAAGGTAATGTCAGGCTGACTTACACAGAAAAAGTTCTTATTGTTGACAACCAGCTTTTTGCTGAAGGTATCCTCTGATTGGGCATGTTGCATTACAGTTTGAATTGCCCAGGTGTGTGATAGGTTTACCATCTTGTGCTGCTTTTGGCTTTTAACCAACTCTGAATGTGCCAGAAGCAGACTTCCTCCCAAATCTGGTTTTATTCTTTTTAGCATCCAGGTTCCCTAGACATCTGTAAACAAAATGTCAGGCAATGTACAGACCAAATCTGAGCTAGTTTGCATAACTGGGAATTCTCCCAACAAGAAAATTACCGCCCAACAAGGTAAGTTGGGGATGAATTGTGATTGGTTGGTGTGGGTTATTGCACATTGCACACTGCTCTTCACCTTATTAAATAAACTAAATTGTTTAAATGAATCTTATTCATGTAGTGAGGAACCTTGCAGGGCACTAATATAGGATCTAACATTGCCGATCTTATTTTGAAGGTGCAGGCTTTGGGGTGGTCATTGTTATACTTCCTTCACTGCTTAGTTAGTAAATGACCCAGAGCAAGCATATGCATATTGCATGTCCTGGCACCTGATATGCACATACTTCTTTCACTACTTGATAGTTTCCTGAACTAAAAGGAGGATGATGATAATAGCTCAGAATCCTGCACCTTCACATACAGGTCAGCAATGGCAGCTCACATAATGTTGTCCTGGTTCTGTTAAAATACAACTACACTTTTACAAAAACATTAAAGTCCCCACAGCCCACCCTCCCTTGAAGTCTAGTTTATTACTAAGATAGAAAACCTCTACCCATTTCAACTCCCTGACAGTAGCAGCTGTTTACAGCCTGGGTGACAAAACATTCTCCTGTGCTGGGCCTGCCTGTGTAGTAAGTTCCCATAGACTTAAATGGGGCTGTGCTTCTCATATCTATACCTTAGGAGTATGGCCCCATTCATGTCTATAGGGACTTACTGTATGTCACAGGTATGGCCAGCGCAGAAGATTTTAGTAACGAGCTTGGAGGAGAAAGAAAAAAGGAAGAATCTGGGTTGGAGATGGACTTCTAGTGTACACTAGGGGCTGGGGAGCCTGGGGGGGATGGGTTAAGTAAAAGTGTAGTTGGAAAATCGTTTTGTTTTTTTAAAATACGCTCCTCCAAAATTGACAGGTTATTTCCATAAAGCAGCAACCTGCAAAGCGGGGGGTACATTTCATACCTTTAGCAAATCAAACCCTAAGTACTTGGGCTGAATTATGGTTAAAAAAGATGCCTTATATAACCTTTTCTATACTGATCTAAACCCTGCTGTTTAGTGTCATTTGCATTCTGTTTTGTCAGGGCCACTTTCAAGATGAAAGCGGTTTCAGGTGCACACATGAAGGTCAGTCTCTCCCACCGCAGGGGCCCAGCTGAGGTTACAAGCGCATATTGTTTAGAATTCCAATTAAGGCCTCCACACAGACTTCATAACGAATGCCTTTCAATTAAACTGCATCCAGGGAACAGAAAAGTAACAATGCCCATCGCTTTTCAGAGGTGCCTGGGAACATTTCTAATATTCAGCAAAAAATGGAAGTTATGCAGTTTTTTTTTTTTTTACATTGTCAGCAAATGTTATAAGAGAGAGAAGAAAAGGGGGTAGATACGAGTGGAATATGTGACTGGAGTAAAAGAGTCAGTAGATGAAGTTTAATTGTACTCTTATCGCTCCTTTTCGAGGCTAGAAGTCACTTACTATAACAAGCAGTGATGCTAGACAGACACTGGGGGTGTTTGAAGTGCTTGGTAGTAAGTTCACTGCTTAATAACTGGGGATGGTTATTGATCAAGGGATTTTCTAGTCTAAAATACGATTCTGTTAACACTGCTCGACTGCTTGCAATACTGACTTGGTGACTATAATTGATCAGAATCCTGGTGATGAATGGAATTAAAGAAATTTACTGATTAGTACCTTTATGAACTGTGGGATCTAGGATTAACCTTAAAGTGGAAATAAGGCAGATTAAAAGGGAAAAAAAAGGGTCTCACAAGCCTTTAGCCACGATATGCTAGTATGCACAATACAGTATAGTAGCACAATATGGCAGTCGTTTCTGCCAAAGTGTTGCCCTTTGGCTCTCTTCCCTCATCGATGTTTCCATCATCCTTCTGGTCATCCTCTCGGTTTTGAGCTTTCGGCCCCTTAATTGTCCGGGCCCTGATGATGAGCATATTAAAAAAACAAAAACAACTTAACTTCCACTTTAATAGAACTGCAAGAAATATGTAGGCTGCTTTTGGTTCCCTCCTTTGAAAATTAGGCGTATCCTTTCCTTCAGCAGAGATCATGTGACCAAGCACTAAGGTCTTTACACATGTGACCAGCATTTTCTCCAGGAAAGAAGCATTTCAGCCCATCTGTTACTGTTCATTTATCCATCCTAGCAAGACTGTTCACCTAGTTGTATGTAACTTTCAAGTATTGATCTGCATTAATGTGAACAGTCCCTTTACGCAGTGATTACAATCTATACTAGACAAATATCCCCAAGGTGGTATGACCCATAGCTTTCACATTCTAGCTTTTTACAGAAGGTAAGAAAATAAAAGCAACATTTAGTTCGATACTGTAAGCAAACTCTACTCATTTTCATTTGCTTCAGTTGTCCTAAACAATCCCTAAAACTGTTAAAAAGGCATTCTTATACTTTTATCTTGATGGGATACTTGCAGGGAGCAAACACACACTGCATTTCCAAACACGCTGCTGCCTTTCTTCATTATAAAGCACCAGCAGTCTGAACAGAGCTGTGTTCGGAACAAGCTAAAATAGAAAATCGACTTACACACAGCACAAGCAGTTCTGGCTGCCCCGCAGGCCAAAATTGGTCCAGCGCCTTAACAACAGAAATGACTTAGCATCAGTCTGCCAGGCAGAGTCAATCAGGCCACACACAGACAATCCCTGAAGACGACAGCAGAGCATATTGTTCAAAGAGCTCTGTCACTTGTCCTTACAGAAGTGCCCTCCTTTCTGGCTCATTGTTGAATGTTTGTAATGCTTTAATGCTCTGAATGTGGTGTCACTAGGTTTGATACCTGCTTCTACTTGTAAAGCTTTGTGTATGTAAAAATAAATAAATATATATATAAATATAAAGATATATTGAAACAAAAATAAAGGCCAAGTATGTGACAGATAATGTTTGTATTACAGCAAAAGATAAAGCAAATGTTTATGATAAAAAAGGGAAACCTGCATTTTCTACCTGTGCCCTGTAATGTTTTATAGACGTGGTCTTTCCTGTCAAATCCTTGTATTTTTGTGGTTTTCATGCAGCAGGACTGATGATTATGAGAAATAAAAAAGAAAAAAAATGCACGATTTTTCTTTTTGTAAAATATTCTTGGCAATTTTTGAAAGGAGCACATTTAGATGGTGAGCTTGTAACGCATGTATTCTGGCTACCAGAGATTATTAAACCCAATTAAAATAAATGTAGCGCTTGTCAGACTTTGTGTGTATGTATATGTGCGTCCAGCAATGTTTCAGTGTCTTGTGCTATTTAAAGCAAAATGTCAAGTGTTCAACTAAATATACAGTTGAAATACATATGCTTGACCGTTATGTTTACTGTTATATCTGCAAAGGATTGCTCATCCTGCACAGCAAATTCTGAGTTTTAACTGCATTTTCTAAACTGCAGACGCATGTTCTTCCTGATGAAATGGACAGTGAATGTGCATCATCGCCTTTGTCCAATGAGCAGGAGGAATAGTAAAACCAAGTAAGAGAGGGATCTTAAAGTGACACTAAACTCGGGAGTTAAATCTTAAAAATGCACTCAAGTACATTAACTATTAACAATACTGGACCTTACTGGTGTATCACTCAGCTGTAGATCCTCAAATCTTCTCTGAATTGGTGCTGACACTGTCCTTCCTTCTGGAGGGTGGCTACTTCTGTTCCCCATGGTCCCCGTGTGTGTTGTAAAGTAGCCACCGCTCCAAGCTCACTCCTGTGATGGTCTACAATTTCACATTTAGTTTGTATTTAAATTATAATCTATCACTCTTCATTCATTCACACTGTTTAGTGATGGAAGAATCTGTTAGATAATTGAATGGCTAGCTTTACAGACTAGCAGAGGTGTGTGTATCAGAAGATCAGCTGGCCAAGATGACAAATTCTTTAGCAGGTTAAACAGTAAATATGTATTGTTCACTGCGCATTATTATTTTGATGCGCCAGTGTTACAAAGTAGCTGCGTGATGTTGTAGTGTCTGCTAACAAGCCTAGCATTGTCTCGTGGTAGCAGATTTAAATAAATATATTTATACCAAAGTTAATTCTAAGAAGACGGGTGCATGGAGTATTGGCAAAGGCATGTGGCCTGGTATGGTACAAGAAGGGGGCCACATGCTCATTGCCTCACAGTCTGCATGCCTGGATAAAAGGTGGACTCCACTCCATTTTCCCCCCTTTAAATAAAATCTACACAAAACCCCAATTCCAAAAAAGTTGGGACGCTGTGCAAAATCTACATAACAGAATGCAATGATCAGCAAATCACATAAAGCCATATTTTATTCACAATAGAACATAGAAAACATATCAAATGTTTCAACTGAGAAAATGGACCATTTTAAGAAACAAATAAGGTAATTTGGAAATTGATGGCAGCAACACGTCTCAAAACAGTTGGGACAGGGCAACACAAAGCTGGCAAAGTAAGTAATATTAGCAAGGAAGAGCTGGAAGAACATTTTGCAACTAATTAGGTTCATTGGCATCAGGTCTGTAACATGATTGGGTATAAAAAGAGCATCTTAAAGAGTCAGAGTGTCTCAACAGTAAAGATGGGCAGAGGTTCACCAATCTGTGAAAAGAGGAGTCTAAAAATTGTCAAACAATTTCAGAATAATGTTCCTCAACTTAAAATTGCAAATACTTTAAATATATCATCATCTACAGAAAAATCTCCAAAAACAAATCTACAGAAAAGATTCTGAGAATCTGGAGAAATTTCTGTGCGCAAGGTTTCAGCGAGTGACAACTCAGAAACTGGAAGTGAAATCATCTCTTCAGTGGGGAGGAGATTAGCCAATAAATGTTCGCTGGTCTCTCTCCCCACTACCCGCAGTCACCCGTGATGCTGGTCCTGGGCCTGCAGGTGGGGGAGTTAGCAGAGCTCAGAAAGCAATGTGGGGAGGCAGCTTTACCAGCTTCTGGAAGCGATCAGGCAGCCTGATTTACAGCCCTGTGATTCGCTCCCAGTGTTGACAGTTGGTTTTACACAGGTATAGAGGCGGGAGTCTGTTTACAGGGGCTTGATGCTGCCCACATATGACATATGATGGTGACAGCAAAAGGATTAAATACAAGAAGGAAAGTATGTTAACAGCAAGACAATTTAAAAAAACTATTTGAGGGCCAACGTTATTGTAGGCAAAGAGCTCATTTAGGGGTTCTACTACAGGAATGAAGACACTGCAGAGGATACCGCAGTGTACAACTGGCCAGCAATAGGCCAAGTTTCAATAGCAATTTTAGGCCCAAATGTACTAGAGACAAAGAGCATAGGTAGGGATTTCACCACAAGAATTTAGACACTGCAGAGTAAAATTGATTAGCAGCAGGAAAGTTGTAATAAGGGATAATAGGCCTAACTGGTGTTTTCCTAAATTTTATTAACAGAGATAAGGATGTGCATTGAAGCCGAGTGATATAATGTAGAGTGCTTTAGATGTTTTTGTTGTCACTGCTTTTCCACTCCACTTCTTGTAGTTTTTCTTTCAAATGATGCATAGGCGTCTTGCGAACAAAAGGCAGCCCCAGGAAAAGATAAACGGAAATAAGGCCCTCTTGACATAAAATAAAAATCCAGAAACCCCTAACAAAAGCTTACTTTTTGAATGGAAGCCTTGTTGCAGAAAAAAAGTTTAAAGCTATATTAGTTTGCTAGGACTGAGAATGCCTTGGATTATCCTTGAACCTTTGTCCAATCCAAACCCAAAGCTCATCACTAAAAGTAATAAAGTTATAGCAGAATCAATTGGCCCACAAAAATGTAAAGCTTGCTCCGGCCCAAAGTGAGCATAGAGGTGTAGCAGCTTAAGTTACTAATGGAACCAAGATCTCAGGACATCATTGTAAAGACACACACTGTGGAGATTGGATCATAATTATTATTATGTGTTTTTAATAAATTCTGTATAGTTAATCCCTTATAGCCAAGGAAGGTGCCATCTTAGCCTCTATTTGGGTTACAGTTGCCATGGTGCTGCACATCTGATCAGTTATGACACCAGCCTTTCGAGGGCTTAAAAGTTAGGTTGAGAGCTGTAATAAGTCCACTGGCAACCTTGACAGTTGGCATGCCTTAAAAGTAACTGTTTTGGGAGACATTAAAGAACACTGGGGTGAGGATGTGCCCATAAACAACACATCTACAGTATAATAGTCATGATGATGTGTAACAGCACAGAAGGAACAGAAGGGACATAAACCTGTCAAATAATAATAATGGAGCCTAAACTTATAATAGAAAAGGGTGCGTTTCTATTGCTGGCCTACTTAAAATGCTAACCCAATGATTCCCATACTTTGAGTCACTAACCTGAGACAAGTATGTAGTCAAGAGAAATCAATGGAAAGTCTTTCTGCATACTTAACCCAGGTCATTGAATCAAAGTAAATGAACTAAGAGGGCCAGAATGGCAATTAGGTAGGTAGGATTTGAGAATGAGAGCTCAGCAATGACAGCACCCATGTTTCACTTATGCCAACCGTCATGTTAAAACCAATCCTAAAAGGAAAGTGCCCTGCAATAGAAAAGGTAATATACAGGTGAAACTCGAATAATTAGAATATCGTGCAAAGTTCATTTATTTCACTAATGCAACTTAAAAGGTGAAACTAATATATGAGATAGACTCATTACATGCAAAGCAAGATAATTCAAGCCGTGATTTGTCATAATTGTGATGATTATGGCTTACAGCTCATGAAAACCCCAAGAACCCCAAATCCACAACCTCAAAAAAGTAGATTATTACATGCAATCAATAAAACAAGGATTGTACATAGAACAATATCGGACCTCTGAAAAGTACAAGCATGCATATGTCCTCAGTACTTGGTTTGGGCCCCTTTTGCAGCACTTACTGCAATTACTTTTGCACGATATTCTAATTATTCGAGTTTCACCTGTACTCATCTCTCCGTGTCTTCTACATCCCTAGTTCCAGTGATGCAGCCTCATCAGCATGTCAGATGCCTGTGTCCTCTGCTATAGTCCCATCCTTTATTTCCTATATCGCTACAGGACACAGTAGTGAAGGGGGGGTTGGAGGCATCCGGAAGTGTTAAATGTTGAATAGTCTGCATCACTGGAATGGAGGTAGGAGAAACAGAGATGGGAGTAAGAACTCTTTTCTTGTAGGGCACCTTTCTTTAGCATTGGCTTTTACCCTGCCAGGGTATGTGTGCACGTTTTCAAGGAATTTTTTCCCCCCGCTTATTTATGTGGTGTGGATGAAGATCAGAGTGGACCTCATAGAGCCCGCTCTTGCAATTCTGCAGTAATATATTGTTCCCTTAAAATAGCGACATACTACTCAATATAAACAACAAATAGTCAGCCGGACCCATTGCAGAAAATGAAATGATGATAGCACAGAGAGTTCAGCATTTTTATAGCAACCACATGAAGAAATACTATTTCTAAAGAGTTCCGGTATTGAGTGCTCTGTAACAGGATCTAAAGGCAAGAAGCTAAATTGATAAGCTGCTAGGTTTAGAACTGGACCCCAACTGTCAGAAACAGCTGGTGACTTCAAAGCTGGCATTCAACAGACTTGCTGCTGGCTGCGCAAACTGTGCAGGATCAGCTGAAGGTCTGCCAGCAGTTTTTATGCCTAGTCTGATCGGAAAGTAGAACAAAGGTTTTAAGCAAACAACAAATTTGCTAGTAGAAAATGTCATGACATCTTCTGCTGCTTGATAAATGCTTTGAGCTTGCCCATTAAAGTGACAGTATCTGTGTAAAGCCACCCCACCCCGATCTTCATATAATCACCTTTCCAGTTGTTAAACCCAGAGCATAATACTAGCTGGGTAAGGAGCAACATTCAGGGTGATTTCACCTCTAGACCCCAACACCAGGTATTTTGGCGAAAGCCGTGATGAATTGGCAGGATAGCACTGGACTGGTTAGTAGCAGTTAGGGCTGCAACAACTAATCGACATAATCGATTATTGAAAAAGTTGTCAACTTTTTCAATAATCGATTAATCGGCTCCTGATTGGTTGGCCCTGTTCACGGCTTAACACACGCTGCTTGCCACACCTCCTCCCCCACCTCACGCTCGCCGCTGCCAGACCTGCCCGCATCCACGCTCCCGCACCTCCTCCGCGCCTCACGCTCACCGCCCGTCCAAATCCACGATCGGCACGGGGACGCGGGGAGAAGAAGTAAGGAGGAGCAGGTGTGGGGGGGATGACAGCCGCCGATAGACAGGCCCGATCTCAGAAACAAGTTGCTGGAAGACTGTTCAGGTAAGCCTGCACTCCCACCCACACATGGTGCTCTATAATGTATTGCTGGGATATGTATTCCTCTATAGCTGATGGTACATTGTGCTGTATATTATACAGAGCAATGTACCATCAGCTATAGAGGAATACAAATCCCAGCAATACATTGTACACTGCATGTATAATGTTTTGCTGGGATTTGTTGTACTCCTATATGGGCGGTGGTATTCTGCATTGCACTGTATAGAGGACTACAAATCAAGGAATACCACCAGCTATAGAGGAGTACAACAAATCCCAGCAATAATACATTATACAGTGGTGCAATGCCGAATACCACCAGCTATAGAGGACTACAACACCCAGCAATAGTACATTATACATTGCAATGCAGAATACCACCAGCTATAATGTACTATTGCTGGGATTTATTGTATTCCTCTATAGCTGGTGGTATTCTGCATTCATTGCTGTATAATTTTACACTTTTCATTTCACTATATTGTACACCACACTTTTTTTTTTCTTTTTTACTTCTACTGCTCCAAGCTTGCTCCTGTGATGGACTACAGTCTCAATACAAACTAGAAGTCCCATCACTGGAGCCATTTTTTAAAATGTATTTTATTTTTTATCCGATTAACCGATTAATCGAACTTAATAATCGGCTAACTAATCGATTTTAAAAATAATCGTTAGCTGCAGCTCTAGTAGCAGTGGGTTGAGGGGATGGGGCGGGGTTTAACACAGATATTTTGTAGACAATTTTATTTTAAGACGTTTCAGTGAACTAGCTCTGCACTTGTGGTCTGCAGACCAGAGATCCAAAGGGCGCAATGTTTACTGTTGCAAAAGGTTTTAAATGAACAACATAGTCCAGCTTTTACAAAAAAAATTATAAATGCACAAACAATAGTAAAAGAAAAAAAAAATGCAATGTTTTGTGGGCTCAGGTACAAAAACATTCACAACTGTGATCAGTGGAGCAATGATCTGGGTCCTGCATACTCATCCTCCTAGGCCCTTGCCTGGACGGGGGCACAGACGTGAGGAAGTATGAATAAACTACAAGTGTGGTGATGTCACCTCACTTGTACTCCATGGAGAACCTAAATGTTCCTCTGCCATGGTGACAGAAAGGACTTGCTGTCTCTGTGAATGGTTGACGTGGCTGTGTGGGCAGAGCAGTGTAAAATTCAGGAAAAAAAAAAAAAAGACAGCAGCCTGGGGGAAGAACCCCACATTTCAGGTGAGGGGGCAGGTTGAGGGTGGGGCATGTGACCATGTTTCATATTACATCCTAAATACGGGTGTAACATAGCTAAATATAGCCTTTAAATTATTATGTGCAATATTTTTTAATCCAATAAGTGTTTATTAAAGGTTTTTACAAACAGACATATATACATACACAGAGCCTAGTATCCAAGGCGGATAATTAGCCCGTAACATCATGAATTTGCATAGGATTACATGATACACAGTGTGTTATATGGCAATGGTATATTCGGGGTAAAACCTACACCTTCTACATGTGCAATATTTTAAATCTGACATTCTTGTTACATTGCAATTCCCACATAACAAAAATGAAATGTTCAGACTTAGCCAATGCTCATGGCAGATACTATGATTTTTGGCTGCATCGCTTTTCTCCACCTAAATAATTTTTAGCCATTTCAGCCATTCTAACTACTGGACCAATGGTTGCAAGCAGCTGCTTCTCGTTTCAATTTGGAAGGGGGCGGAGAAATCAGTGCTGGAAAGAAAGGATTTACCTTTACACACACACACTCTAATGTATTTTTGTAATTATTTTCTGTTGTATTTTTCCTCTTCATGGAGGTACCTGATCAGACTCTTCTTAGTGGTCTGTTGTTGGAGGAGATGACCAGGCCATGCTGGACTAGCTCAAACACGCTCTGTGAACTCCCAGGAAAACACAATGACATACACACAACTTATTTTGTAAACAGCCAGCTCTTTGGTATGCATAGAGTCAAGCATCTGTTGCAGTCTGTGTCCAATGGGGAGATTTATCTCTATTTTCCCTGGTGATCATAGTCAGCAAAACAAAAAGTGAGTTGTTATTAGAGAAAGAGGTGTGGGCAAATCTTCCAATGCGGATGAATGTTCTGAAGACAATTGTTAAGATGGAAATTCCCCTCACTTCAGGAAGAATACTCTCACTTCCCATTGCCTCTCCAAGACAGGAATTGAAAAGATCTTTTTTTTCAGCAGGACGCAGCAAAAAAAAGAAGGCGTTGTTCATAAATGGTCTATTTATGTTTTCACACAAGATTCATAAAACTTTCACCCAAGATTTACACATTTTTCTAATGGATTGAATTGGAAAAGAATTTGTGAATCCTGAGTGAAAGTTTTGTGAAAAATCGCAGGTTAGATTCTTCACCTTAGACACAGTGATCACACGCAGGTTAGATTCTTCACCTTAGACACGGTGATCACACGCAGGTTAGATTCATCACCTTAGACACGGTGATCACACGCAGGTTAGATTCATCACCTTAGACACGGTGATCACACGCAGGTTAGATTCTTCACCTTAGACACAGTGATCACACGCAGGTTAGATTCTTCACCTTAGACACGGTGATCACACGCAGGTTAGATTCTTCACCTTAGACACAGTTATCACCTGCAGCCTGGGGCTTCTTAGCAAAAAAACCTGCAGATGAACACTATTGCCTTCAAGCAGAAGTGGCAACGGGCAGTTTAAAAATGTAATAGTGTACAAAAGTCTGTTAAAGGGTTTCTAAATCCTCAGCTTTGTTTGCATATATCTATCTATGGCTAGCACGCAGTAGATTTAAGCAAAAAAACCAAACGCTTTAACAGCAGTGTAAGTCTATGGACGCATGCACCCACATGCAGATACCGTGATACAAGAAGTGCCAGCAAGGACAGCGGAGTTAGCGTTGGATCGGAGACCCGCACCAGCGCTGGAGGGACAGCTGAAAACATCAGGAAATAATGTTGGGGTGAGGGACACATTTTTTTGCCTTTAAAATTAAAAAACAGAAATGCACATACATGTGCATTTGTAAACTGATAAAAAGTTTTTAAAAAAGAAACCTACATACCAAGTACAGTGGGGCAAAAAAGTATTTAGTCAGCCACCAATTGTGCTCCCACTTAAAAAGATGATATGCTGTTAAACATATATAAAAACGATTTTAATATGCAAATTAGTCAGAGTTCTTGTCGAATTTAGTCTGGGCGCCTAGGCATCAACGATCTCTGGTCATGAGAGTTAAACACTTTGAGAGAAGAGAATAAAAACCACAGACAGACAAAAGTGTAATATTTAATGACCTCCTTTAATCCGGAATGTACATATACACCAAAGTGTAGCTGCCTCTGTATATGATTTCCACCTTAAAATAAACAAGAAATCAAGTATACGATAAACCATCTTTATACAATCGCTGTTAGAAAAATAACAAAGACAAAAAGCAGGCATTTGAATATAATAAACTCAAAGATGTAAAAGAAAGGAGACATTTATATACCTGTAAGAAATTTTTGCATTAGATGTGTTTATAAATGAAATGTTCCTGATAAAATAGGTTAAATTAAACTTCAGTTAACTCTTTCACTGTGGGAGAAACTAGCACTAACTTCAAGGCCTCTCCCACAAGGAAAAACAAAAAAGGTTAGCAAACAATATAAAAGAAAGTGTTAAAGCTACAGAAAGTGCAAATATTTCACATTCATATTTATTTCCCAGCACATATGGTAAATGGAGTTCTTTAGTTTGGAGGGGATTTGGTTGAGCTGATTCGCAAACAATACGAACACTACGAGAACATTTATTACCTAGAGGCCCTACATGCCAACACCCTGCTTCTCCTGGGAAATTGTCATGTCAGCAGCAAACCATCTTGCTAATGTCTATCTGCAATAATTAGGGTATATTTATATGCACAAATAAAAGCTTGACTTGAGTGGTTTGATTGATGATGCAACATAAATCAGCAGTAGCAAGTGAACTTTGGGGATAGTAAAAACCCCAAATCTGATGACTGGCTCCATCTGACAAGAGGTATGCTAAAAAGATGGAGGCGAGCAACAAGTTAGAATATTCTGATTTCAAAACCTGGTTAGGATATGGTCAAAACCCTCACTTTTTCCTATTTTTTAATGAACAGTCTTTTGTCTTGTTAAAATAAATGCGTGGTAAAAAAAAAAGTGAAAATTATATATCTAAATAATACTCAATTGCTTCTGACCTGAAGGAGAGGTTAACTCTCGAAAGTTTGTCTTTTAAATATGTTAGTCCAATAAGAAAGGTATCATTGCATACTACAATACTCTGTTTTTGTTTTTACATCTTCTCTACTGGACTAATACGGCTTACCCATTTACTATCTATCTATCTATCTATATTTGCCAATTGTGGCATTCATGTGTGTGTGTGTGTGTGTGTGTGTGTGTGTGTGTGATGCCACCATTGGCAAATTCTAAGCAGTGCAGTTTCACTTTACTGGCATCTTATATGTAAAGCAGAAATGGTAAGAGGCTATGTAATACAAGTATTTACATATTCTTAACCAGCAATAATTAGGCTTTAGAATAAGCCCTAATGGACCTCTGTAGCAGCAGGCAGTGTGGAGCAATTCAACCTCAAAATATATCACAGAAGTAGAGAACTTCAAGTCTCAGAACTCTCCTCTCTCCCTATACCCTCTTCTTTTATGTTTAATGTTAGAGATTGGAAGGCGGTAAGTCACTGCTGGCAGCGGGGAGCTAACCTACCAAGAGAATGTAAAACAGAAAAGCTTCTCCTGCAAATTGAGGATTAATTACTCCACAGTGGCTGCAGCTACAGGGGTCAGTTAGTTTATTTAGCGCTGTTTAGAAATATGTAAATATTTGAATGTCCAAAGTTCTATTTTTTATATTTAAAACATGTAGAAAGCTGCAATAAAACAGCACAAGGCTGGAGTTCTCAAACATGTTCTGAGCCTAACTGATGCACAAGTCCTTAGCACTGCTGCTCCCAGGCAGAATTTCCTGTTCAGTTTTCACAGTTCCCCAATGTACTAGTTCACTTGTCACATTAGTGATCAGTAATTATTTGTTGATGACAGAATACCTTAAAAGATGGTCTTGTGGGGATGTTCACAGTGTTGGATGAAAAATGTACTTGTTGGGGGGTGAATAGTCCAGTACTAGTCCAAACTGTACACAAGTAAACAAGAAGTAAACATGGAAATATAAGTTTTGAGAAAGGTTCCCACTAATGAAGTAGTCAAAGTACTGCCGCCAATTGTAACCAATTGCATTTTCCTATGCCCATTGCTGTATGAGACAAAGAGAAAAAAAGACATATTGTTTGCTGATGTCGGCAAAGACATATAGTTCTTCCAAAAGATAAGTTGCAATGTAAGAGGGCAGAGCAAAGAACATAAGTATCAACATTTGTACCAAGCACCACTTTACAGTTGCCTGTGCAAATGAAACTGGGACTCCTACATGTGGCTTCTGAACATTCTGTACTAACTGCAGTTATTTTATTAGCAAAGAAAGGTTACGGTACAATAAGTAACTTAATCGAGACCGGCCGAAGACTAGAATACATTTCGAATGCCAAGTCTGCCTATACAACGTTAAAGGGACAGCATCCCCTCAAACATAGAATCCAAGTTTACAAAATGAGCATGTGCTTGAGGATTTCTGCATCAAAAATTATGTTCACAATCAAACCTGTTTTATCCTGAAAACACTAGATGCAATGCATTAGTATAAGCAAATATTTTCCTATATAATCTAACTTCTATCCTGGAAGAACAGTTTATCTCTCCAACCAAAGAGCTATAAACGCATGTTGTCCTGAGCCTTGGCAAAGGAGAGAATGAACAATCAACTTAGCTCAGCTGCAACTGTTGTGCACTGTATTAAAAACATTCATTTATTAATGCACAGAAAAGGGGGCATGGTTCTACTGAATGCTGTATGGACTGCAGCTCTACAGTGAACCTAACTTGGTCTAAAAGTCTCTCCGTACTAATGGTACTGAAGGTTGGGACTTGTGTTAGTCTTCAAATCAAACCCTGCATCTCTGTGGAGCCCCCGAGGTCCTTGGTGCAGGCTCTGCATGGCAGTTTACCTTCCGCCCAGTACAGATAAAAAGGGTTATTCACAAAAGGGTGAAGTTTGAAGAAGGCAGGAGAAGTGAACAATCTAGGAAGACCTAGCTGAACTGGAAAGTGAGCTGAATAGGTGAACATATCCAAATCATCTATGTTGTCTTAGATTGTTCACTTCTCCTGCCTTCTCCAAACTCTACACCCTTTAGTGAATAACCCTGAAAGTCTTTCCCCTCCTGATATATTGAAGTCGAATTCCAGAGCCTCTACTGCCCCCCCTCCCCCCCTCTTAAGTTTTGACATTTGAATGATAGTGGCCCCAGCTTATTCTCAGCTTGCGTAGAAGTGAAGGACCCCCATGTTGCACAGGAAGATAGGAATTGGCTTGAAAAGTTTCCACAGCTGCTTTAAAAATGTTTTAAGCCTCAACAGGTTCACTTAAAAGTGAAGTTGCAATGAAATAGATATGGGGGAGCCATTACTGCTGACTTGGTTTTTATAGTTGAAGACTCCAGGTGCATTTGGCTATACTACCTAGTGAGTCACTGGCAGAAGTTCAGACTTGTCAGTCTTCACAGGTTGCATGCATATTCTGGTCCAGTAACTTACTAGAAGGCAGCCCACTACAGAAATATAACATTTAGTAGACCCTGCCCCACACTTCCCTACCATTTTAGTGGTTCCAAATGTACACCATCCAGATGCATAAGCATCCAGATGCATTAAAGACACCCTAAAAGGTCTTAGGGAGTGAAAGGGGGACAGGCAAACACACATTTTTCTCCAGCCTTCTCTGCGTGAAACATATGAACTATTACGTAATTATATCCATCTTGCCTAACATGCCCCCCTTAAAAGTATTTGTTTATCAATATGCTTTAATAAAACGGGACAACAGGAAAAAAAACAAAACAGGATTTTGGTACACAACATAAAATTGGTTTCTTGAAGTTCATTAAGGGAGACAGGAACAGTAGAATTCTGAGACCATTGATTATAGTTCAGCCTACAGGAGGAATTGGACATTGGCAAACTAAAAAGCTGTTGGCCAGGCAACTATAATGCCTCCCACAATGCTTACAATTTTTAGAAGAGCAGTATCAGGAGTACATCATAAACACATAGGGGTGGGACCAGTGTCCCCTTACAAACTTCAAGAAACTGAAATTAAGGAAAAGTACAAAAATCATTACAGGACACAGGATCGATAGAATTCTGAGACCATTGGGATGTCCAAATGCAGGCTAGCTGATGGGTGGGCAACACAGCAAACACAAATGCTAAGGCCCGTCTGAACGCGCTACAAAACGGCCTACGCCTGAAAAGGTACATGAGCCTCTATGCGGCGTTTTTGTTGCGCGTTTCCATTGGGATACAGCCAAGTAGCCCTCGGAAAGACGCGTTTGGCGTGCTTTTTTGAACCGCGAATCGCGGTAAAAACGTGCATTACGAAAGGCGCGACAAACGCGCATATTCGATACGCCTAGGTGTGACCACAAGGTAAAACTTAGAGGATGAGGGCCAAGTGGTCTTTGAAAATGAATAACCAGAGAGGAGATCTATCCCTTGAGGGTACTCAGAGTTAAATGTTGATTTGGAACAGATTGGAGAAAGGTTAGCAATGCTTCTCATGAAGCATTTCCTGGGATTCAATTTCTTTGCCTCACACCAGGCAAAGCACGCTTTTTAAGTGTGATGGCAGACCTTGCATCATGTGGATTTCCTAGCTTTAAGGAGTGTAGGAATAACAGAAAAAGAGGGGCCCCATCTCTTAGAATCTCAGCTTCAACAGCCATGCTGTCAGCCAATGACTGTGAAGCTGGGTATTAAAACGGGTCCTTGGGACAGAAGCTCCGGATAATATGGGAGATCGCACGTGGTGTCTGCCAGGAGTCTGTGGAGGTCTGAGTACCATGTTTATCTGGGCCAATTTGGGCCAACATAGTAGTACAACGCTAAGGGCACATGCTCTAAATGATCAGTAAAGATAGTTTCACATTTCTTAGACAACTTTTTCGTCCAAACCTCTAGTGTCATACAAATGGACCCTGCTAGGATAAACAAGGACTTGGAAAGGTTCTTCAGTCATGCCAACCTGGTCTTTAAACACCAACATCCTCAACAGGAACAGTCAGTGTTTTGTTAAGGCTGGGTGCACGATAGTAGCAGCCCCCTTCTTGGCAAATACCCCCTACATTGGGTATTAAGCTCAGCATGCGGGGGGATGAAAAAAATGATTGAAAGGTCTAGAAAAAAAATTGTTTAACCCAAATGTGAGGAGAAAATGCCTCCATCCTCCTAGACGCCTAGCAAAAAACTGAAGCAACATGGGAGTCGTTATACTTAGCTAGCCAACGGCTTTGTTTGCCAGTCTGCATCTCCTCCTGTAGGCAGCAGTGTAACCCAACAGCCTCAGAATTCTACTCATTCTGCGTCCCTAATGAACAACAAAGAAAGGTATTTACTGACGGCCATATAAGCAATCTGTTTGGGGCCACACTTATATGCTAGAGAACAGCTCATAAATGCCATTAAATAAGTAACAGTTTATATACAACATATAAAATAACTAGCAACTTGATATATTTTAAAAATACAGGACAAATGATGCTTGCCAAATTCTACTTGCGTGGCAATTTTCCTGTATAAACTAAAAAATATGGCCAAAGCACCAATGAAAGCATAGCAGTTTGTCTACAGATACAAGTTAAATATATATGATTTTTTTTTCTATTCTGGTACAGAGTCTTTATTCTAAATCTTTTTCCCTGCAATAAGTTACATCTCTCTTTAGGGTACATTGCACTTACAAAACATGGAGAGGGAAATTGTTTTTCCCACTAAGAAACACACAGGTCACTTTCATTGCACTCAGCAGCAGAATAGTTATTCTATTTTAGGGAATGTAAGACACTTGGGGGAGTATTCTATAGAAAGAAAAGGGAACTGTGAATGACCAATCAACTTTAAGCTGGCATTTCCCTCCTAGCAGGTTTGCCATTATAAAAGCCATATTGGTGTTTCCTTTTGTTAACTTATACAGAATACCGATGTTGGTGAATTCCATGAAAGCAGAAAGAAGGTTGGTATAGTAGAATTGGTTTCTGATTATATTACTCTTTTAAGCACACAGAACATGAAAAAGTAAAACTACAAAATGGGCACTGAAATAACATGCCACTTTCATTTTACTCTACCTTGAATTATTTCGAAGTACAGCTGAGAAACAACTAAAAAATAAAAAAAATCTAGCATTCATTTTGTGTGTCAAGGTCTTGCCTGAATTCTCCACTTCCACACCACTCAGCCCTATATGGAGCAGCCACGGTATTATAATTCTAGGCTTTGCTCCAAGGATTAGGAAACAGTCATGTGCAATTCCAGTTATGTTACAGGGTAGAGAGAGAGAGAGAGAGAGAGAGAGAGAGAGAGGCCTGTAGATCCACAGGGCTTGCTGGTGCAGAACTTTAATACAGGTCTCTTGACTGCAGTTATTTGGATTCAGCTGGCAGCAGCAGCACACATGCCTGATGCATGCTGGAAAACACCTGCCAGCTTATTGATATTTGAACACATTCAGTCCTCATTCTGATGCCTTTAAACAGGATGTGGCTCAGTTTCTGGGAATGCACGTGGCCATCTTCAAAAACACTCGGCATTGCACTATACTGGCAAGGGTAGGGGGGGATTATTATAGTCTGTATCCCTGTTAGATTACACGGACAAGAAAATAAGTGATGAAAGCTTTGAGGACTAAGGTGAATGGTAAAGGAATCTTCAGGATTGCAGGAAAAGTGGAGAAGTTCACAGGGGTATGAATCTGCCCAGTTTCATTTCCACATAGGTGAGCTGAGGGTCTGGTTGGGTCCCTGGTTAGCTGTAGGCTGTCCATATCCTCCCATGCTTCCTACTCCAAAAAAAGTCATTCCTGCCATCTGCTGAGACACCTTCAAAATAAAAGAACATTAAACATTATTTACATACAAAAATGTCCACTCATTCCAGATTTTACAAACACCGCTAATTAAAAAAAAAAAACAAAAAAAAAAAACACCAGAACCAAAATCTATCTGAATATTATGTACTGTTAACCACTTGAAGACCGGGGTGTTTCACCCCCTTCCCATCCAGGCCATTTTTCAGTATTCAGCGCTGCGGTACTTTTGACTGACGTTTATTCCGTCATGCAACGCTGTACTGATACGAATTTTACACCATTTTTTAGGGACAGAGCTTTCTTTTGGTGGTATTTATTCACCACTGGGGGTTTTATTTTTTACTATATAACAAAAAAAGTACCCTAAATATTGAAAAGAAACATGTTTCCCTATAAAATGTTATGAAACATTTTCACCCCAATTTTTTGGTATAATATAAAAGACGGGGTCACGTCGGGTAAATAGACACTAAACATGTCATTAAAAATTGCGCACGCCCGCAAATCGCAGAAAACGACCGCAACCAAAATTAGCCATAGGCAACACTTTAAACGTTTTTACCGCTCGTCAGTTTAGTGTTATCAGTGATTGATGGCACTAAAATTATTGCTCTCACTGCGACATTCGCGGCGATATGTAACATGTGCTGCATAATGGGCGCAATCGTCGTTCTCGCACATAGGCGCACCCGGCGCATGTTTGCATGTGTATGTGAAGGGGCGGGGGACTTTAAAACATTTTTTGTGTTATTTTTTTAAATTATTATTTGTGAATATTTTTTTTTAGCTTCTTTTTTTTTTTTAATGCTGTAATTTTTTTTTTTTTTACTTTTTTTAGACAACTTTATTGCTATAACATAGGGAATTAAGAAATCCCCTATGTAATAGCTAGTTCACCAAACAGGTCCTCTTTATGGAGACATCAGGGGTCTCCAGGACCTCTGATGTCACCTAGGGACCCTTCACAGAAGCTGATGAAGCAGAGAGCGGAGAGTGACACTGAATGCAGGAAGTGATGTAGTATACATCACTTCCTGCATTCGGGGACAGGAAGAATGATCAAAAGGGAAATCGAGTAATGATCTCCCTTTGATCTGTTGTTAGAGCGTCGCCGTGCCGGTCCCAGCCGCACCGGCCACATCGGATCACGGACCGGCAGCGGCGACGACGGGACATAGGTACGGGGGGGAGGGCCTGATTACATACAAGCCTGATCGCTTGTATGTAAACAGCCATCGCTGGCTGTTTAACTATGGAGTCCAATGTTTTTTGCACTGTTATATTGCTAATACAGGAGTACATATTGTAATGCAGGGCTCAAAATGAGCTACTAGCCAGGCCTTAAGAGTCACTAGCCACCAGTTGCCCCACCTAGCCCTTAACTCCGCCCCTAAACACACCCTCTTAAATAATCTTATAATTCTTATCTTACGATAGTTGCCGCTTGTAAGCGGCAGATTAGGGATTCCTGCATGAAGGAAAACACAAGTTCCTGACATATACTGTAGGTGTGAATGGGGCCTAATATACACATACACTAAAAGGTGTCCATACACCTGCCGATTATCGTACGATAGTTGCGAGTGATCCTGCGATCGTACGATAATCGGCAGGTGTATGGGCAGCGTGCGACCGCTTCTACTGTAAGGTCGTACAACTTTTGTCTTCCAAGCATGCTGGAAAACCTGTCGAAAATCGTACGATTTTTGGCAGGTTGGTGGCGTGGTCGTAAGACGAATGCCGCACTGCAATAAATCGGAAGCCCTCCCCTCAGCAGACAGGGCTTGCGATGATCGCAAGTACAATCTGCCTGTCCAAGATGGGCAGATCGTACGAGATTTTAATGACCTACGCCACGGCAGTGACTAAACCCACACACCCCCTATTTGCTCACACATCTCCTTGAGTGCCCACCACTCTCACCAGTCAAGGACCTACACCCATCAACCCCATTGCCGATTATTACGCACCACCATCCATCGGTAAGTTGCCCTGATTCTCTCTTTTTGTTTTATTCAGTTAATATATGGTAGTAGCGCTTCTGTACTTCCCTTTTCTTTTTTGGCAAACGGTCCGCATTTCTAGAAGCAGCACACCCATCATTCCTACCCACACCCAGATACCCCCACCCTAGTGTCAGCGCTGCATCCAGGGACAACTCTCCCAATTTTTCAGGTACTTGGATACCCAAATTTCCACTCGCAAAATGCGAGCAGGCGAGTGGAAATTTTGAGTCCTGTTGTAAATGTACTCCTGTAATCAAAAATGCACCATAAGCCTGTTATTTCACATAATAGAAACTGGGCGGGGCAAAGCTTGTCAGGATCCTCCACACTGGTCTCTCCACCCTGTGATTGACAATGCATGTTATGAGCTTCTGCGCATTCATGAAAACATACATAGGTGCAGCAGCTCTGGCCCTGCCTCCCCTCCACCTTCTCTCCACACCTTGCCGTCACACAGTGTGGGGAGAGTGCGCGAGCGCTTGCTACCAAGGACTCTGAGACTCTGCCTCCCCCTTTCACAAGTTAGCGTGCACACACAGAGACTTGTGAGTTTGAAAAAAAGCTGAGGGCGGGCCAGAAAACTTGCAGATTGAAGCTGGGTACAGGGCTGGTGGTGGCCGTTTGCTGGGTTTTGGGAAGAGGATATCGCAAGGTGTGCTGCGGAAATCTGCAATGCTGTTACTAGATTAAAAGGTAAAAGAGTATATTGATTTAGCGTTATGTCAGTCCTCTTTTCATTTTGCAGCACTTACCAAAATGTTTATACAATAATGCTCATAATCCTTTGATACACTGATCTCTATTTTATATATATGGTTGTATGCTATTAGGGTGTTTTTTTATTTGGAGCCATGCCCACCACTTTCCGCTAGCCAACAACACTGCTGCAGCCACAACCACCCTGAGATCGCTTTTAACGCAAGGTCAATTAAACCAATCATGTTACAGAGCAGGTACTGATCAACATTTAGCAGGTGGGGGAACCCTAATTATCTGAAGTTTTGTTGGGCCTACGAGCCATCTAACTGCAAAGTATGCACTATAGAGAATAATAATATGATTGCCTTGAAAACTAGTGGGAATGTGTCTAAACCGCAGACAATTCCCAGGATATTTTAAGGCCCTGCGTACTGAGCAAAATCGGGAGTGGAGCAGTAAAAGAGGCCTGTATGCCAGTGCAGTATCAATCTTAGATGCACCTGCTTAGTGCCAACATGTACATATATTATATATACATATACAATATATATATACACGTGTTGTGTGTATATAT